ACAATAACGAAGCAGCAACAACGAAAATTCCAACAAATACGAACGAAAATCATAGCGTTCAAATTCTCCGTGATAACAGCACAAAAATCGACAAAAGTTACTAGAAGTATGATTAATCCAAATATGACCAGAAAAACAGAAACAAACCACGGTGATTCATCTGCAATCATAGTAAGCATTAGTTGAAGTCAACAATAAGCTTATGATTCACTTAATTACCAGCGGCATCTTGATTGTCATAAATATCGGTTAGATTATGGAGACCCAGGGTGAGTATTAAAATGCCAGTCACCTAAAATCCATCAAGAAAGGCTCATGAGAAACTGTTCTCGTGAAAGGAATTACTCATGATGAAAGACTTACAGAGAGAACACTTTTGACGAAGATATAGATGTATTTTAAACTATCATCGTGACCACTAATACTGTTCTGTTAAATTTAAAAGAAATTCAATAATAATAAAAAATCACATAATATATTTGTCTACCCAATATGCACGAAAGGCACAACAAATTGTCGCACATTCAAATAAAATGAACAGATGAACGCAATCACACCAAATAACCAATCTCTGAATTAAGTGCGCAGCAGCTGTACCTCCGCGGCCTTATCAGTTGCGGTTTGATAGATTGAAAGAATCAAAATAGAATTGAACAAAACAACAACTTCCCGTGGTTGTGTCATTTTCTTCGTCTGGTTTTGAATAAACATATAAAACACATGGCTTTTTTTGAATTTTATCCACACAATTGGTTTAAATTATCAACAAAAAGCAACACTTACCCTCGTGGAAATATCATGGAGTGTACAGTAAATCATAGCCGAATAAATGATTAACAAAATCAGATGAATAGCAATTTTAGAACATTTATTTCAACTCTTCAATTAAACCAAGAAGAACTATTTTTATACAAAAAAAAAATTGAATTGAAACACTCTTTTGAACGTATTTATTGCAAAAAATTCACAAGCCAAGTAATCAGAGCTAAACCGAAAACATCAATGATGCGCTGACAATGAATAATTTTAAGCTCTACGTAAAATCAATTGTTTTGTTTTTCGAATAATCTCTGACATTGTGAGTATTGGCAATGCAGGTCATCAAGAGCTCACATTACGATTCCGTGTATCACGATGAATACGACGAGTGCGCATACCAATATAACCACACTTAGAAGTTTGCAGTCATTGGTTTGTTCCAAGTGCTTTGGAATATATTCGGTATTTTTTCTCATTTCCGATAGACAGTCTTCAATAAAATAGACGGTAAATAACCAGCATATGACCTGGTAAAAAACAGAAATTATTAGTTTTCATTCAATCATTTTTAATTCGAATATGTTGTCACCTACATGGATTAGAATAGTTATGCTGACAATAACCGGTAATGTAACATTATATTTGAAAAAAGAGCCAAATACTGAATTCAGAGATAGCTTTTTGTAGCGTACATAGATTATTGTTGCAACTTGCACAACAATGAAGAATGTTAGCATGAGCAAAGCCTGTAAATTAATTTGGATTTTTAAAAAAGCATGTAATTTTCAGTTTTCATTACTAATTTGTTTTACTTACAGCAAGTGAGGCACCTAAATCCTTCATAACTACAGCATAGCAGCTAGTAAATGCGGTTAAGATTATCCAAATACCGAATGTGAGTAGACAAACTGCGATCCATGTATATGTATAACCACCTATTGAAAGTTTAAAATGTTTAATGAATCTAGTCATAACTCAACGGTAAACTTTCATTTTACCGAAAAAATTCACAATTGCAATTGTAGAGAGCACCATGCCAGTAGCCTGAAAATTATTATACATTCATTTCATACAGAACTTAGTTCAGGAGAAAAATTCAGTAAAATTTACAAAAATCATAAATGAAACATTAATATAATAATTATGTTTTTCACATGTTTCTGGCATCTTAATCGCCGCACGTACATTTCCCTCGATATCCTTTAAAATAAGAAAAAGAATCATTATTAATGAATCATCATTTGATGATGAAAAATCATGTCTTCAAACTTTTTTTTATAGATATTTTTGATTGCATAACATTATAATAGAATATGTCGAAAGAACAACTAATTATAAAGCAAATATCAACTTTTTCTCCAGTTTTGCGACAAGGTTTTGCAAAGTATTTCTCCATTTTCACTGAATTATTCGATAGAACTTTTACGAAGCAGCGAATCGTTTGTAATGTTTTTACTAAAAAAATTAATTTCAACTGAACTTATGCCATGTATACACACATTTCCTATAAACATACTGTGATAAACAGCTAAAGTGACGAATTTAAGAACTGCTCTTATCTCATCTTCAAATTCTCTTGGGAATAGAACGACATACGTTTTTTCATTGGAATATTTTTGTTGATTTTTCAATAAAATGTCGACATTTGTTTAAAATAAAATGGAACTCGAGACCGAATCTCATGATACAATCTCTTGCTGAGTTTCGAAAATGTTTGATAACAAAAATTAAAAACGATATACTACATTCGAAACTATATAATAAAAAAAATCTACAGAAATGAATTTTTCTTTCTTTTTGGTCCTGCGTAACGATATGAGTAAGCATTAATACAAAAAGTACACAAAAAATTGAAAAGTGATTCATTTTCCGGTTGTTCAGCGCAAAGAAAGAGATTATTTTTTTCTTAATATTTCACGTTTCGAGTGTAGTGTAGTGTAATGGTGTCAGTTTCGACCAGAATAAAAGTCACCAAGCAAGCGACTAATGCACCGAAATTGAGATATTTGTTCCATTTGGCTCCTTGCAGCTCTTTGGCGTAATGGTCAGGCTGTTGTTCCTTTTCCGAAATGAGATTATCACACAGACGATAGGAAAATACCCAGCTAAATGCCTATGAAAAAATATTCATTACAAAACCAATTGAGCATATTCGATCTTCAAGGGAAGTCAAAAATATGTGAATTTGTTATCAACATACATGAATCACAAAAACGGCGCCGACGAAAATTTTCAATGTATCATTAGTTTTAATTAAATGGCCCAATATCGAGTGCCATGTTAACCTCATTTGCTTGATATGGTTTGCTGTCAAAAGTTGTATAATGATCATGATATTTTGCATCGTTAGCACCTATAAAAGACATTGGACAATTATTATGAAAAGCAGGAATTTGGTGCATTTTCATTTCACTTACAAGGACGGCTACGCCCAAATCTCTGATGAACACAGCACAGTAGCTACAATATGCGACTATAACAGCCATTAGACCGAATATCACAACCGAACATGAAGTGGTCCATGCCAATGAATCACTCTCTGTAATGGAAATTAATCATGTGTTAATGATGACTGCATAAGTCATAATTTGTTTCATGAAATTTCCCTACCAAGACTATATTGATAACGATGAATATTGCAGAGATTCTTAAGCCCCACCATAAAGAATATACATCCAGTTGTCTAGAAAATATGGAATTATTTGGAAAAAAGTGGAGAATTTGTAATTTTATAGAAATTAATGTAAAATTGAAATGAAGCTTTTAATTCAAATTTTATGAAACTTACTGCAAGCATAGCTATCACAAATATATGTGGTGACTTCGATCCATCATCACTACGATCTTCTAACTTCGCATTTGGAATATGCACATTGCCTTCA